TCTCTCTCTCTCTCTCTCTCTCCCTCTCTCTCTCTCTCAGAACAATGTAGAGGGCATACGGTGTTCGCCTCTCATTCAATAGGTCTCCGGTTCGAAATCTAACTGAACGGAAAATTTTCTTCTCTAAAATGTTCTCCTTTCACCTAATTTCCTGCTCTAGTATTTACCCATGTTCTGTCTGTTGCTTTCGTCTTCACTTTCTGTCCCCTCCCCTCTCTCTGGGCTCCAGACTCTTTCTGCAGTCTTTCAACTTTTAGGCCTTCTCTTTGACTCTTTCTTAAATACTACTGTCTTTTAGCCACACCCCTGATCATATTTTAGGAAAGGTCTAACACATAACCTCCTCGGATAAGCGTGAAAAATCTCAGAGGACCCATGTGCAAGTTGCACACATTAAAGGTCCTTGTTTCGTGCGACTGTCACCCGGGCAAAATTCAAAATTCCTACCAAAATGAAAGTAAATTATGTTTAATGTGAACCAACCGCTCATATGACCTAATGCAGTTGCGAGCACCGTAAAACACTTACAAAAAAGGGGGGAGGGGAATGAAAACAACAGCAACAAAAAAGTGTTAGGCCTATTGTAAGTAACTAGAATACATTTGATGTTGGTAGTCGACATGCTTACTGTGGGTTTATGGCTCTTTGATTTTGATCTCATACTCCTTCGCGGAACAGAAAAAAGGAGAGGGGAGGGGTATTCACGTCTTAAAATACATGTTTTATTTTTTTTCTGGTTTTTCTTTAAGATGTATCTTGTAAGCATGCTTCAGTTAACCTATTGACTATTTTGGACTGATTGGAGTGGAGTGGATCTTCTTTAAATAAATAGCAACATACCCTCTTCAACAAATTAATTAATCAATAAATTTTATTTTTTTGTACCCAGCACGACAACAAAAGCTGGTTTTATGACAAGTCTTAAAGCAATTGTGTATAACATTATTGCTTCTCAACACAATAGACTGTCTAATTCCCGAATTACCTCGGCTTTGTAATTCTACAATCGAACTACGAAATGTTATTGAATCAGCCAATACATGTACGAGAACTCATGCGTCCGAATGACATTAACTGAAAAATCAATGCTCGTAAAGTACGGGTAAACGAAATGATCTTTATGGTTTAGCCTAAAACTGTGTGAATATTGGAAGCTGATACCATTATCCTGTAAACTACTGGTTAAGGTCTCTTTCAGTGTGTTTTTTGTTTGTTTGTTTGTTTGTTTGTTTGTTTGTTTTTGTTTTGTTTTGTTTTGTTTTGTTTTTTGTTGATGGAGTAAAAGGTAACTAAGTTTGGCCTTGGGTGCAATAGCCTAGAGAGGCAAAAGTAGATAAAGAATAAACTTACTCTAATTAATCAATCAATTAATTAATTAATTAATAATCTTATTATAAAGGGAGCTAAGCCCGTTTGTGAGGACAGTATACATTTTTACACAGGTGCCAAAAAAAAATCTACAAAAATATGATTCAGTTAAGAATTGTCACACAGAATTACGTGGGCATATTATTTTCGAGGTTCGGAAAGTATCTTTTGATATTTCAGGTTTGATGGTTTTTCCTGTACATCGAAGCTCTCGTGTGATTTTACCCTGCCATTAACCATTTCATATTTTAGTGGGGGAAACTTCCGTTTCAGTTTGTGCTTCGTCGCGCGTGTGGGACAGCTCTTCTACTATTTCCAGATCTACAATCTCGATATCCAACTCTGTTTGGAGGTGTGCTTCGAGGTGTCAATGGATGCTTCAGGCCAAACTTCATTGTATTGACTTTTTCTAGATACACTTGGTGTAGTCATGTCCCCAAAACGTTGAGTTCATTGAAACCCACAAAATGTTTACTTCGTTGTATTGAAGTTTTCAAAATTTGGTGCGTAGTTGTTGTTTTTTTTATGGAGCTAAACTCTAGATCTAGATTCTAGATCTAGATCTCTCTAGATTCTATGTATTTGGAGCACAAAAGTCAAGACTGATTTGAAGTTGTTAGCAAAACCAACTTATTTTTTGTACGTTGTCGTATGTGTGTGCAACAGAGTTCTACTTCATTGTGTTTACAAAGCTGCTTCTAATATGTGTGCAACAGAGTTCTACTTCATCGTGTCTACAAAGCTGCTTCTATTGTTTCCAGATCTAGAATCTCGATAGCTAGATCTAACATCGCAGTGTCAATGGGTACTTCGGGTCAAACTTCATTGCATTGACTTTTTCTAGATATATTTGGTGTCCATAACACGTTGAGTTCGTTTAAATCAGCAAAATATTCATTTCGTGGTATTGCCGTTTTCAAAATTAGGAGCTTTCTGCGTAGCTTTCTTTATAGAGCTAGGCTCTAGATCTAGATCTCTATAATCCTATATGCATTTGGAGCTCAGAATTCAAGACTGATTTGGAGTGGTTAGCAAGAAAATGTCAATCTAGATCTAGATCGAAATCTGTTCGGAGTAAAGATGCCCCTAGAATATAAGTTAATGATGTACTAAGATGCCCACTAAACGTAGAGTTTGTTTAACCCCACGAAACAGAGGTGAAGGCGAGAGAAGACGGAGAAAGGCGACTATCAATCAGAATTTACGTTCTAATAGTCAGAATCTGGAGGAAGACCTTGAGTATGCTATGCCAAGAAAGAATGGGCCAACGTTTGCCTTAGCGTGCAGCGCACAGTCCTTTAGTGAAACTGAAGTTGATCAGAGATTACGGACACCTGACTTTGGTGAATTCAGTGTTGACTGTGAACATGGCAATGCCATAAGATGGAGAGAAGAGAGATACGCATTCGGCTGTCAAAATAGCAAAGTTAATATACGTGTACCTCCCGAACCCCTTCAGGAACTAATTGAGTATTAGGTTGTAGCACAGAGTGGCAGTTCTTTCTTACCAACCTGTAGGTCATACAATAATGCTCTCGACCTTGCTTCAGTTTGGCGAAGTGAAGAAGCTAAACAGGGTTCCAGTCCAACCTTCAAAATTCAGAGCAGACTGTACCACCTGTTAGGAAATCTTCTCCTCACTGCTGGACAGTTGGACCTGCTTTTGCAATGACTGCCAACAAAGCTCAGGGACAGACTTTTGAAACGGATAGGGATTTCTTTACAGGGCGATTTTTTCACATGGACAATTGTGAGTCGCAATGAGTCGTGTAGGGTCTAGGGACTCAAGTAGAATACATGCAAACAGGCTTGCTGCCCAGGACGGAGTTCCAGATGGCGCGTATACCAGCAATGTTGTCTACACAGAAGTCCTACGGCAAGAAGAAGAAGAAGAAGAAGAATAAGAAGAAGAAGAAGAAGAAGAAGAAGAAGAAGAAGAAGAAGAAGAAGAAGAAGAAGAAGAAGAAGAAGAAGAAGAAGATACGCTAACATTAAGACGCACTTGACTCCCAATCATATTCTTAGCATCATAACTTCAAAACGTCGGCTTTGAAATACTATCAGTGTGTGGGGCAGAGAATAACATGCTTGCAGCAGGGAATGGGTTTTGCAAAGTAAATATAAATTTTACGGTTTGTGCTACAAGCAACCGTGGTACGTAACAGGAACTATGAGAGCATAATTATCGGCCTACAAAAAGAATCATAATTTTTTACAACAAGTTGTTTCGTTCAACACCAGTATTATTAATGTGCACCACGGCTGGATTGATAGGTCGAAAGATCATATTAATATCGCCTCCATGAGCCGACCACTTGTAAATTGATTTCACTTTGGCCACAGAAACACCATACTACTTTCCATTATAAGCAAGACCCGATCACAATAAAATAGAAAAAAAAAACCTAATGGGCTCGCCGTTTTGATATTTCCGTGGCATGGGTAGCCACTTGTTCCACACAAACGAAGCAAAACCAGCTAAGGAGATAAACAGATAACGGGAAAAATAACCCAACCACACCAGTGTTCGAATGGGTGCTTACATGAGTACAGTGAGGGCATAAGTAGAGAGCATTGTTTCACATACAATAAATAGTAAATAGTGATGCGCTTTTTCCATAGCGGGCACCGACGACTGGACGACCTTTCACGGGAAGTAAAGATGGGCATTGAACTTTGAAGGCAGGTTTAAATTGTTATTGAATATTTGTTTATAGCATATCTTTGTTTGTTTTTTGTTTTAGTAAAGTGTTTTACGGCGCTCGCAACTGCATAAGGTCATATTAGCGCGCGGGATACACACAATATTTTCAGTTGGTAGGACGTTTTGAATTTTGTCCGGGTGGCGGCCGAAGCCTACTCTTATCGATTTTAGACCACCAAGGGATCTTTAACGTGCGCAACTTGCACACGGGCCCTCCGAGATTTTTCGCCCTTGTCCGAGATGGCTAGGTGTAGATCTTTCCTACCAGAAGATCAGAGGTGTGGCAGAAAGACAGCAGTAAAGAGGAGCCAAGGGGTAGCAGTAGAAAGGCTGCAGAAAGAGTCAGGAGCCCAGAGGAGGGGGCAAAGGAGGTGAGGGGGTGGGGGCAGAAAGTGGAAATGAAAGCAGACAACAGAACATTGCTAGAGAGCAGGAAAGGAGGTGAAAGGAGACAATTTTAGAGAAGAAATTTTTTCGGTCGCTACCCGGATTCGAACCCGGGACTTTTGAATGAGAGGCCAACACCTTAACCTCTAGGCCATGAGAGCCCCCTTGCATATCTTAAAAACGACATAGAACTCGTTCAAATAACCTTTAGTGATGTCGCTTTCCTGAATGATCATATAAGACTCATCGAGTCCACATGCGTCGGGATGCTGTTAACTAAGTACAAACTGTATGTGCTGTTTTCAAAAAGAGAATAATCAGGATTAATAGCCCCACCACTCCGCCAAGTGTCAAATTCTGGTATTAGATTTGAGGTGGACAAATCTGAAACCAACCTCTTGAACCACAAATAACGAATGATTGTCACTGTCAAAGTTCATGACCACAGATTGCGTCGCAACGACTGGCATAAGGGACGCAAAATATTTTTATTACAAGTGCTGTACAACATTTGCTGGTTAAGTCCCTTGAATTTATCTGTGCCTCCCATCCACTAACTCGCAAACCCACAGAATTTTTTTTCACCATGACCGACAGCGGAGCCGCAGAAGTTCCAGACAAGGCATGGGAACGTATCAGATCCGAGAATTGTCAGTTTGAAAGAACTAATTATTCTGTTTACACGCTCCAAATCACTGTCCAATACTCTTTCCTTTCCATTGGCAAGATTCCCCCTCTTACGCTTAGAAAGCCATTGGTAACAAATCATAATATCAGATTCGTTGTATACGAGAACTGGTTAGTTTTCTCGAAGTGCATATTATACAATGTCATAATCTTCCATTTACACTTTCCAATTTGTCATCCAATTCTCTTTCGATTGGGGAGATTCTTCCTCCTTGCATCAGAAAGTCCCGATTCGGGTCAAATTATGGATTTTCAGATGTAGGCATTTTTAGCTGCTTCAGCCTCTCTAGACACTTCAGTGACATTTTCAAACTTCTCCGAGGGCACTAAGATTTGGATTATTGAAAAGAGCTTGGCTTTCTGTTTACAACTATTTTATAGCACCAGAACCCCAAAAACCTTTTTTTTCATTTTTTTTTCGGGCAAGTTAGTCACCACCACTTCCTCATAAAGTCAATCTTTAATTATTCTTTATCCCCCGTTTTCTCAAAACGCGGTTTTACTTTTTAAAAAAAATTAATTCAACCATTTTTTACCCTCTGTTCATTAAATTTTCACAGAATGAAGAGAAGATGTAACTCTAAAAATGTGTCCGTTAATTTTTTTTATATAGGCCTATAGGATACAT